TGGGTTTGTTCTTTGGTTACTACATTCCTTCTGCTGTCCAAAATCCCAGTACGGTTTATGTATTTTGCGAGAAGGTGTGTTACCATTGCAGGCGGATGGGCCACTTAGCAAATGAACCAGTTCATTTTAATACCCATCTCTTATCCAGGCTTCATAGAACTGGAAAAAAACAGTGAAACCAGTGTGAGCTACTCACACTGGGTTTAGTGGTAGGGTCTAGGATTCTGCTTGGGATCTGCTTAGGGACTGGTTCCTTTAAGTGTTACGAGACATGCCACTGGCAGATTTTACAATGGTAGCCTAGTTTAGAAATTGGGGGAGGAAAGAATTTGCTTTATTTGACTGTTTTTGTAGCTGTTGTTCTAAGAAAAAACATCCTACGTGTTCTCTGCCTGAACAGTTCTCAGCCCTCCATGACCATGGGGTGGAATGCAAATGGGACTTGCTTCAATGTGAACAGAAGAACTTTCTGTTTTCTGTTTGCCTTGTTTCAGACCAAGGTTGGTGGGACAAGCCACACAGGAGGCAGTTTTGAAGAAGTTCTCAGCTCTACAGCCCATGCCAGCGCTCAGAGCTCTCTTGCTGGTACCCGACTTCCTGAGAGTGAAGAAGAGCTTCAGTGTTAAGCTTCAGGCCCTCCTGAGCCCCACATACTTCTCTTCAGAGACTTGCCCAGACAGTGATTTGCAACCTTCTCTCACCACACAACTTGTGCAACAAGGTTTTGTCAGCTTTGGAAAACTGCCTCCCTGGCCTTGTGTTGGAGAAATGTTTCCTCTCCCTGTTTCTATTTTAGATGGGCCGTTTTAGCGCCAGGTACTTTGTACATCATCGAAACCACACACCAGTCATTGGCTATAATGCACTAAATTCTGTGTTAAGTGACTAACATAGTTTTCATTTTCACATGACTTCCCTCCAACAGTCTCCCAGTTCCTGTTTCTTATCTCTTTTAGTTTACTCTTTTGTATGTGTTGGTTTCTCAGTGCCACATCAGACAGGTGGACCTAGAGCTAAGCTTTCAGCTGCCAGCAGCAGCCCATACACCAGCTGTCTACCAGCCATACCAGGTGCCCTTTGTTCAGGAGTTTCAGTACATGATCTGTTTCCTAACAGAATTAAAATCACTTATTGTCACAAAAAAATTTTTCTCCTTCACTGGTACAGTCTGGCATTGCCTTCCACCTGTTAATCGGCAGATCTAAGGACAGGAAGAGACCCCCAGTTATTCATGCACAAACTGAACTGATCACAGCTCTGGATTCAAGATGGTCACTGTGGCTGGAAAAGTTTCAGTTTAGAAATATGTACCATTGCTCGCTCTCTGTGGTTTGGTAAGGCTTGACACTATAAGTTAATTACAAAATCAAGTGGAGCGGAGGAAACCTCTAATATTTTTGCCTCCATATCTTACCCTCAAAAATAAGGAAAGTATTTATGAGCTTCAGTCAAGCTACAGCCTTAAGTGAAAGAATACAAACCCAACAACTGGCTTCAGATGTGCCATAGGTTAGAGAGCCCTTGCCTTCAGGCCACATTTCAGAGCTGCTAGGATAGACCCTGTCATCTCACAATATACCGGACGAGTAAAAACTTTACTTCACTCTTGGTGTCAAATTTTGTCATGCTTCGCTCTGGGACAAAATTCCACCAACTCCATTATCTCTGCTCAGTCACCAAGAGCCAGGCATCTCTCAGCTTTGATTCAGCATGCTTTCTTGCATTCTTCTAACATTTTTTCTAAGGAAAGAGCAGCACGTTTGTGACACTATCTGGCTGTCTAGTGAGCACGTGTCAGTATGCATGTTGCATTATTAAGTTCACCAGATTGAGGAGAGCACAATGTTATCAATAAACAAGATGGAAAAAAGCCTGGCTACTTTGAAAATGGATGCATTTTTTGAGCATACGCCAAAGCTTCAAATCAGTGTTAGTGAGTTTGACATTACAGACTGCTTAAAATTTTGTGAGAAAACTTGGCTTTAAGTGATTTTTTTTTCCTATGTGGCTTTTGGTAGTTTTTACAAAGTTGAAAGTCTTTTTGTAATGTTCTACTGGACATAAGTTAACTTTGGACATTTATATCACATGCCTCTTTAGTGTGATTTTTAGCATGGAAGCAAATCTAATTATGCTTTTCTAGTATTCTTGTGACAATTTTCTAGCTTATTTTATGTGGTTTTTTGCATATTTAAAATGTAAGCTATTAATTGTCTAGTTTGTGTAAATGAAGTTCTTGATATTCTTATTAAAAATAAATTTCTCTCTTACTCTTTTACCCTTTGTGATGTTTTAATTCTGTGTTTACTAGTAGTACTGAGCAACCTGGTCTGGTGGGAGGTGTCCCTGCCCATGGCAGGGGGGAGTTGGAACTAGATGGTCTTAAAAGTCCTTTCCAACCCAAACCATTCTGTGATTCTATGATTACTGTGCATCTATAAGCCTTGCTATTGCATGGAAGAATATCAAGGTAAGTTGCATGAACATAATCTGCTATTTTTACTTACAGTTTTTAAAATCTGTTCAGTTTCTTCCGGGCCTGAAATTCCCCATGAAAAATCTGGGGCCCAAGTTTTGAAAATTCTGAGGTTCAATGGAGAAACATACTTGAACTAAGTTCAATAAAAGTGAAATGCATGGCAGAAAACATCTAGGTCTAAAACCACTGACCTTTTGAACAGGGCCAGCAGCCAAACCAAGCTCAAAACATGGAGTTCAAACACTGTTGGGACACTAATTTAGACCTCATTTTATTTATTTATGTATGTATGTATACACATTGAAAATACTTCTGGGGAGCAGTAAATTGCATTTAATTGGATTCATTAAGAGCATAATTTCAATAGTGCTAGTGGAGGTAGGCTGGCCAGGCAAGCTTCACTTCAATAAAGATTCTTAAATGTTACTGTCATGACAGCAGCTGCCACTAGGTGTAGGGTCAATGCTGATATGAACAGATCAGAAGAAAGACATGAGGAGGCAAGTTCCTCTTGCAGGTCATGGGTCCAGCACCTTTTCCTACAGGTGAGTAGTGCACTTTAGAACTGCATTAGGAAGCCTGAAACCCCACAGGCTGTTTGCTAACCTATCTGTCAACCTCTCATCACAGCTCGTGCTTTCTGATCACACCTTCTTCTCCCATCTCCTTCCAACTAACTCCTGTTTCTGTCACAATGCAGTGTCCAAAACTGACATAGGATTGCAGTGGCAGCAAGTAGAAGGGAATGTAATTTTACACATTTTTTTAAAACCAAATCCAACACAATGCATACCCAAACCATGTCTCCACTTCTCAGGCTAGCACCACTGCACTGGGGTTTCACACTGTCCCCTACATCCCCTGCAGAACAGGGAAGCTTCCTTACTCCATTGCAGGAATGGACTGTTCCCATTTAGGGTAGTGCTTGTGCTGTGTATGTTTCTACCAAGCATCTCTTCAAGGCCACTTTTCTGGTTGGTTAAGAATGTTCTCAGTTCTGTCTTTCAATGCATCTGTAGCTCTTTCACGCTCAGCATTCAGTGGAAACTAATAGAGACTACAATCTGGAGGAATAAATATGCTGAAGAGAGCTCAGTGGGCTCCACTCCATCCCACCTGCAGTATGACTGTCTGTTGCCAATAACCACTTTCCTATTGCTCAGCAAAGCACAACCTGTTCTTCCAGGGTTTCCACAGGGCACAACTGCTCCCTTGTGGGGTTCCCAGCAGAGCAGGCATCTCACATCTCCTCTGGACCGGACCAATATGCTCTGCAGATTTTGTGCACTGTGCCAACCCCTAAAACAAGAGCTCCCAGCAGCTGTGCCCAGCACTCTGTGCCTCTGCCAAAGGCACCAGCTGCAGAATGCTGCACAAGCTTCGGTCAGGCCCCTGAGGTTTGCATAAAGGAAACATTTCCTGAGTCATGGTGCCTGAAAATGTGTGCTCAGCTACATTACCTATCTTTAAACTGAATGACAATTGAATTTAGTTTTATGCTGCTTCATTTGACATGAGGTGGAAGACAGAGAAGCGAGCTCCAGGTCTCGACCACGCAAGTTTTCCAGGTGCAAACTTTGCTTACTTGGTAATCATGACATTGCCCTAATCTCCAGCTGCACACAACTCAGCAGTTGGCCGTGCAGACACTGGCCTCATTATGGCATTTACCATCACTACAGCTTTGCTTCCCAATCATTCTGTACTTCTACATTGGCAATATTACTTCTGCCAGAAACTCATTTACAGCAGAATCAGTACCAGTGTGTAACAGCCAGAAGAAGGGAACCAGCTTTACACAGGTGTAGAGGCTTCGGCGTTAGACTGCACAAACACCAAAGGTCCCTCCCAACCTCAGCTATTCTGTGATTATCAATTACCTGTCAAAGAGTCTGTAAAACTGCCAGTCTGGGGTGAGAGGGAGTAAGGAATATTGGAATTATGGAAATGTTGACACCAGTCCTTGACACAGCACATGAACAGTGGGAAAGTCCTATGAAACAATGAAGATATTGAGAAAATATAATTAATGAGATTACCAGTTTTATCCACCATCACTTCTTAAGGCTTATGTACTCGAAGGAAATCTCATCTCTAGGCTCAGTCAAGAGCTCATAGAGGAACGTGCTCATTGGTCTCATTTCTGTGTAGCACTGTGAGTGGATATTAACCCACTGAAAGGAAATTAAATCCATACATACTTGGAAGTCACAGAACAAGACATACACAGTGCATTACATGAACTGATTAGATTGCAATCAGCTAATTTGTAAACGTACTTGAATTTCCCCAGCGGAGAATCTATTTGTAACTGAGACTGCATTAATCAAAAGCTGATTAAAAAAAAAGGAAAAACCCAAACAAGATAATTCTAAATATTTGGTCCTTGACACAAACTCTGATCTGGGAGGTAACTATGCTCCCTGCTCGTATCTAAGTGGTCCTGGGATTCCCTGCAATGAATGCACAGGAAAAAAAATTTGCTGGCAGAATCAGTGATCTTACAGAAGGAAACATAATGTACAGAATATAAAACAAAGTATTTATTACAGCTACAGCATTTAGGAACACCTCAGGAATGTGGACGAGATGTAGCAGCTATTTTTTTATTCCTTTCTGTGTTAATCAGAGATACAAGCTGAAGTATTTCTGGGTGAAAAAACTTTCCTGCAAAAGAAAAGAAAGGGAAATTTAATGAATAAGGCTGTCATTTTCCCACCTGTGAAAGGGTGGCATTGGAATGATAGCAGTGATGTCACTTCAGGCTCAGAATAAATGTCAAATTATTTAAGAAAGTGAATACTCACAGTTTGATCCAACTATGGAGTAAGAGTAGTTACAGCCCTTCTTACCAAAAAGCTTATATTTTGTGCCATATTAAGACCTTAAGAGCTGAAAAAGGGATGCACCCTGACCAAGATAATCCAATACTATGTATCCTGCTACAGGAAACCACTCCGATTACAGGTGAACTTGGGGTGTATGCTGTAGGCTCTACTCAGACGCCAGCTCAGTTTAGTTTACTGAATTGTGGTAGGAGGGCAAAGATGTCAGTTAGAAAATTAAGTATTCCAGCTTTGTTCATGTTGTCCTTTTTTTTTTGTCTTCCCTACAAATTACTACATTTTTCAGAGAGCTTACTATCTCCCTGAGGAATCTCTAAAGTATAAATGGGACTTGTCAGGAAGTGTCTGGTGACTGCTAGTCCTCTTCCCGAGTTTGTCTACCCCTAGTTTTTTTCCAGGACTGGCTGACTTAGTCACAAGTTCTCTTCTGGTGTTCAGCTCCCTTGCTAAAATTATAAAGATTATTATTTTACCTATTTCTCCTTTCAACTATCAGTTTATTTTGCAAAGGATGAAAAGTAATGGATAGAATAAAAGGTAATACAATTGCAGCTAAACCATTTCACTGAGGTGGTTCTCACATACATGAACCTTGGGCAGGTCACACACAACCACAGCTCATGTAGAGATAACAAATCCTACTTCACTGGCTCATGAAACACTAACAAAGTAGAAACAAGCTGCTGTCCGAGCATCTGTGAAGGCTGAAGACTCCTTTAGGCCCCCTCTGATGTTTCAGGGAGTTCCTTAAACACATGCAAGTGTAATGAAAGCTGGGCCTCTGTCTAGATAAAAAGTGATCTAAAAGGAATTTGGCATAAGTGAAATTCAGACTCAATATCTATAGATAAATATAAGGTATTTTCACACTGCATTAAGTTTCCCTCAAAATATTTAGGGTACTTGAGCAATGAGTAAAATAACTAGTTCTCACTTGCTCTGAATGTCTGTCAGAAAAAAAGGCAATTTATCTATTTCATTTATGAAAGAGGAAAAATAAAAAGCCCAAATGTCATACCAGCAGTTGAATCATAAAAATCTTGCAATCTGCCAGGTGTGTTTTCCAACTCTTCGTACTCAAATGCTTGTAGTATCATCTCACACTGATCCAACTGTTTTACAAACTTGGCTTCTGCAGTAGACTGGTTTTCATATTCCTGAAAAGATTTGAAGTTATAGGAAAATAATTTTGTTTCTCCGAAACAAAGTATTAAAAGCTCTCTATGTATCAAGAATTTTCTTCATTAGTACAAGCCACTCCATAAATATCCACCGCAGTTACGTCTTTCACTTTGTTTTTAAGACGCTATTCAGCAAAACACTTGAAATAAGTATGTGCCAAATTTATATTAAATGTAATGGGACTCAGAACACAATTCTTTTGCATAATCTAAGTCTAAATATATCACTTGTTTTGGCTGAATCAGGGATGATACGGAAGCAACCCTGCACCATATACAAGTTAAACAATAGGTTCCATTTAATAACATTTTACATATAAAGATCATTTGAGGCCTGGCCTAATATGGATTACCACAGAGTGTGCCTATGCATTGTCATCACCTATTTTTAAGACCTATTTTGCACTTTTCTCCACCACTTGCTGTTTCCATACGGAGCTGTTCTTTACATTTCTCCTGTCATTCCTTCCTAATCTTTTTGGTCTAATCTGTCTGAGCTGCTTATGTCCTTATGTCTCTCCCAAGAGACAGGAAGAGGAGTGGTTGAGGGGTTTCCCCCCCGTCAGACTTTAAGTCCTTTAATCTCTGTGCTATCTTTTCCCTCTCTACAGTAATCATCAGCATATATTTGTGAGTTATTCCCATTTCTGGTCAACTTGAACAATGTTGCTGTCATTTGCTTCCAATGATGGCTGCAGACAGGTTTGCCATTTCATTTTCTCTGTCACACTGCATGTGATGTCTCATTAGCTGGTCTTCTCCTGACTTCCAAAATCAACCCCAGGAAAAAGGTTTTTTTCTGTGCAGGTTACCAATCACCTTGATACCCTCGGCAGGCCGACTCCATTCATCATCACCATTAATCAGTCTTAAGTACACACCATCCCATCTGTGCTCCCAGATGCACAGAACCTGTGACTCACAGCAGTTCTGCAGATAAGAGCAGCACAAGTACAGGAAGAGGTTTTCCTACTGACCAAAGAACATGGCATCCCTTTCTGCATCTTAAGACAACAGCTGTGGTGTGAGTGTCACCACAGTGGCAAGATCCTGGCTTTGTAATTCCAGCACAGGTAAGCGTGACAGTCATTTCCTTGTCTGACATACTACTAGGAGCCTGTACTTCGGCTTATTACTTTACCTTTGAAGTCAAAAATCCAGATTTTGACAGCCATGACTGACTCATTTACTATTCTACTTGGATTTCAATGATACTTTGAATTTTCAGTTACATTTTGATTGTTAGTTTAGTAATCAATTTCACTTCAATGTTTTATCTTCTTTTTCTCCTTTCAACCTGAGTTTGTTTGCCTTAAATACTACTTCTTATTTTCTTAAATCTATTTCTACTATTTTTCTTATTTTTTTTTGGGGGGGGAGTGGGGTGTTCCACCAAAGACAACAAACTCTTGGCAGCATTACAAAGGAGAACTTCGGGAGAAGGACAACTAGGACTGTTTTCCTGTAAAGGTCGGTCCCACCACCAGCAATTAAACTGGGAGTATCAATCTGTTACCAGCCTCTTTGGGTCATACAACCCACCAGATCTTATTCATAGGTCAGCTCACATTACCCTCAAGAAACATCAGTTATTATATGTGCAACTGTGCACAGTGCTGAAATAAACACTGTTTCTTCCCCAAAGGTGTTTAAGACTGTGAAACAACAGCACACTTTGGAAAAACAGTAACTAGTCTTTCCAACGCCACAGGCCATCTTTTAAAAATTACTCCCATGCTTTTGCAGTTGAGAATAAAAAAGCAGGACAGTGCCAAAATGTGCTGACTCGTTTACTTAATTATTTTTTCTAACATATTCTGGATTGTTATAGAGTGAAAATATATCTGAGGCATCTTTCTGCTGCCTCTCCCCCCTACACTACACTTGCAGAGTGCCCACCAACACAGCCCAAAGCAATAGTCCTTGTAAAGCGGAAAGGCAAAGAGAGGTAGAGAGACAAGGGTAGAGCAGTGCAGGAATGACTTGCTAAGAGTATCAACAGATCTTGCCCCACCACCGTTCAGCTCTGGTCCATAACTTTCTTCACTCACAAAAGAAATCATAGGGAAATGCCTCTGGCTAGGTGAGAGCTGAGTATCATACCAAATGATTGGAGGCTTCTTATTTTCTGCCTCTTTCTTTTCTTTTTAAGAAGCACCTAGTTGTTTCACTTAAGACTAGAGGGACTACATATGAATGTTAGATTTTTAGGTTATCCTCGCTGTTATGTGGGTTGCACTCATGCTATGCATTGCAGACTCAATGCCTATAAATTATCCTGAAGGTAGAAACAAAGACCAAATGATCAAAAGTGCACATATATTAAATTATGGTTAATGAGAATGATGAAAAGCTAACATGCTGAAGAACTGACTCCATAGTGAACCAGCTCTTATACAACCATAAGAGAAGACTGAGACCAGCAAAGAAAAATACCAGTTCTACAGGACTAACCTTATCTATCAAAACCTCATTTTCCTCAACTATAACAGCTTCCCAAGGGAGAAGGAACCAGTGCTCAGTAAAAAAATGCATACACTTTATTTCCCAGATCTGATGATGGTGATTTACCCTCTTTACCCTGAAATATAGCTCTGAGAACACATTCTCACTGCCTGTTCACCACACGACTATAACAGGGAAAAAAAACCAAAGCGAAACAAAACCCCCACAAACAGGGTGTTGTAACAAAAGACAGAAATTGGATGCAAATATCTGGAATTTAAATACATTCCAAGCAGAAAAGCAAGAATATCAATATAAGATACAGAATCAGGTCCAAGAAACACAGAATGCTTTGTTTGCAGCAACATGTGAACGAGAGGTTGTGGATAGACTTGTCCTCATGTGACCATATGTTAGGAGAAGATGAAGCACAGTAATTATAAAACTGAATTTTTTGGAAACAATCTAATCATCCCTCATTTACAAGTAAAAAAGATCTTATCAATTAACTGCATGAATTCACATAAAAAAGTTAAATCACCTTCAAATACAGAAGATACTTTCCAATCCAAACATTTAAGGTACACAAGGCAAGAAATCCATAGTGTTTGTCGAAAAGCGCTGTTTTGTGTCATATTTAAGTTCAAACTTAAGTTTTAATTTACTTTAACATTTTAAGTTACTACTGAATATTTTAGCCTAATGGGCTTTATAATCAAGAAACAGAAACCACAGAAATTACTTGTATAAAAAGCAAAAAATAATCTGTGGCGTCATCAGCTCCCATTATTTTCTTCCTGTATTAAAAGCTGCAAAGGGCCAGATGTGAACGAGGTAACGTAATAAAAAAACCAGATTTATACCCAAGTGAGCTAGATGTAGAGGACAAACCCTTCTTTCAGCTGTACAAATCAAGCCCTGGACAGGTTCATCTGGAACTTTGAGAGGCCAGAGGCCAAAACTGGTTATTTTGGCAAAGTCCAGGGTTTCTGTTAGACAAGGATTCTAAAATGACACTGACTCATACCATTACACTTTATCTCCTAAGCAAATGAATCTAGCTTTCTGAGGTCAAAATAAGAGATGGCACAGTTTCACAGGTATACAGGAAGAAGAGACTGGGTCACCCTGAATTTTACCATAGGATTAAGAGAATGCAAGCTTACTTCCCAGAGTTCATAGATTTCTTTTCTGAGGTCCTCTGATAGAAGCTGGGTCAGTTCTTGCATAGCTGCCTGAAAAAAAGAGGCCATTTCAATTTACCTATCTTTTGAGCAAACACATTTCTATCACTGTCTTTTCTGAATAATTATCTACTTGTTACCAAGTTTGTAGAAACATACACTAGACAGAATATTATTGTATTGTGTTGGCATGGCAAGGTTTTGGCGGGGAAAGGGAAGAGGGCTACAGCACTGGCCAAGGCCAAGGTGGTAGCACCTCTGGAATAACATATTTAAGAAGGGAGGAAAAAAATCCTGCGCAACTGCACTCCATTGCCCCCCACCACTGAAGCATCAAGGTCTTGTTCCTTCCCACCTCCTTCCAGCTCTGGAGCTCATCAGATTTCAAGGTTAGCAGGCCAAAATGACTTACCTGGAAAAAAACCCAGCCCAACCTGAAAAACTTCCCCCTCAAAAAACCCAAAATTTTTTTTTAAATCAAGTTCATTTTCTGCTGCCTTAGCCTTGGGCAAGACTCACTGGTTAGACTTACTGCACAAGCAGCAAACTTCAAAACCAGGTCAACATCGGCTGTAGAGCAAAGAGGAAAAAAGAACTCTGCAGTGGAAGCAGAATATTGATAATTCCCCTCAAGCCACCTCCTGAAGTTGCCACCCTTCCTGTATTTTTTCAACAAAGTATTTCAGAATCATCCTAAATATTTAATGCTTTACTCTCCTTCCCACAAAGTCAACAGCAAAGTTCTCACTGAGTGAAATGAGAGCAGGAGCTGAAAATACTCAAGAAAACTTTTTAAATATACTTAGGCATCAAAATACCTTTTTCCTTGCCTAAATTTAAATCAAAATTCTCTCTAGACAAAAGTTGAAGCCTGATTCTCAGTGACACAACAACCTTTAAAGGCTTCTAGGAAAGATTTTTTTTTCTGTTCAGTGTTTTGAAGCTCTTCAAAGAGTGTAACATAATGCTTCAGTGATTATTCCCCTCCCTCTTTAATGCTTATCTGTTTAAAACTTGGGATTAGGGGGGCTGTGACTAACTCTACGAGTAAGCTTTTTGCTAAGAAAGTGAAAACTACAGATCTATTCATATTCAGTGTTGTTGAAGTAATATCTTTACTGACTGTAATTGTGGTATTTCATTTTTTTAATGTACTTCCTAGCATGTTCCTACACTGAACAAAAAGGCTATCACGAGTTTCTGAGGCGACACATTGCCCTCTAGCTGTGGCTACAGAAGTGGTTTACATTTTCTTCAATTTTCTTCAAATAATGCCACAAACCAGAAATGACAAACCAACAGTTTGGATATGTACAAGACCAAAAATAAAGTAACTCTAGGCATGCTGCACTCACAACAACAACAATAACAACAAAACAAAAAAAACCACCCAACAAACAAACAAAAACAAACCCAAAACAAAACAAAAAAGACACCTGTGTCTGGAGTCCCATGCAAAAGGTTTCAATAAAGTCTTTGTCACAACTGCACGACCTGGCACCACACATGATCTGACATGAACTGTCATCCATCCCAGTCAGTGCACCCAGACCCTGCTCTCCACCTTTTGGTAAGGCTGCTGAAATGACTTATTCAGGCTATCAAAACTACAGTTAGTTTGGAAATAAATGGCCAAGATGAAGATTACTTCAAAGGTTCCCCTGTCATAACTTTGTACTTGGTGATGCTAAAGATACAAAAATCACAATGAGTTGAAAATTGTAGTTGGTTGTGGCAGACTTGTGCAATGCCAATGACAGTATTATATTGCTTAGTGTTCCCTCACCAAACCATTAAAAACACACAGAATGCTTTGCAGATGTGTTTTCATGCCTTATGTCCATACCTCTTCTCTCCTGTGTTTCTCCTCTTTTGAGATATTATCTGCAGGAGCAATATCTCCAACAATGCATTCAGCCATATCATGAACCAAAGCTAATCGTATGCATCTGACAAGAAGCAAAGACAGAATAATTAGCTTTTCAGCATTTTAAGTTAAATCTTGTTATCCACAAAGCTAAGAGATGACAGAATTTATACCCTTCCTATATTCTACAGGTTGGCTGGAGTTTTTTTTAAACTTTACATTTTTCACTTCTTTGCCACAGGAAGTAGTTTCCACCCAGACATGTTTTTAGTTTCTGATTTCTAGCTCCTGCTGCTTGTAAATACAGATTTAAGTATAAATACACCATGTACCAGAGCATAGCATTCAAAAGTCATGTACTTAGCTTTTGTACACCTGGCTTTCAGAGATGTTGTGATAATTAACTATGATATACTTCATGTTATTCCTCCAACAGGTAGAAGGTAATCTGATTAGAGCCATCTCAAATTCATTATATAATCTGACACTCACAGCTCTATGGCTATGCCAGTCTGCAGCAAAATGCTCAAAAAAGCCTTCACATCAGCTTCTGAAGGGACTAAGCAAGCATGATCCTGTAGAGGACTCGACAACTCATTCAATAATGAAGCTTTCTCTACTGTGCTAGAGGTTTACTGAGGCTCCTTAACTGCTGCTAAGTGCTAGTTCAGTCAAAATCCACATGGTGTATGGATTTGCCCTTGCTGTCTGTTGCTTCAGACTATGTTCAACAAGTATCTTCAGCTTGCTTACTTATGGTTTGAGAGAAGGCCAGCTCAGAGCCTCTGCACTAAGGACTTGCCTCTGCACTCACAGTCTAGCAATAGAAGTTTTTAGCCCCTTTCAGTTCTCCAGGTAAACAGCATCCTGTCCAAAGGATGGAGGGAAAAGAAGAGGGGAAAGGTTTTCAAACTCCTTCAGTGTGTTTTAAAAGTTCTTAGGACGACAGCTCTTTTTAGCATTTTGTCTGCAACTCTCCCACAACATTAACACATGGTCTTGATAACTAGAGGCAGTCTCACCTGTCCTTGTTAAGGCTTTTGTCTTCAGTCACCAAAGCCATCATTGCCATCCTGTACATATGATCGGATACGCTCTCTGGCTTCGCCACGTTCCTGTACACCCATCCTGTCCGTGGTACTCTCTGCACGAGTGTCACAGAATCACCGAATAAGTCAGGTTTGAAAAGACCTCTGAGATCACGGAATCCAAGCTTTGGCAGGACGCCACCACGTCTCCTAGACCATGGCACTGTAAACGTTAAAATTCTTGGAACTGAACTACCTCTCTTCAGAGAGACCAGAAGAAATTTTGCCCCACCGTGACCTCCACGCGCCGGTGAGCCTCGATGCTTTCAGGAAACACCTGCCCCAACGACCTGACCGGGCTCCCCAAGACTGTGCCAGGAGCACGGCCCAGCCGCAGCCGAAGGATCGGGGCATCCTGCCCTGCCCTGCCCAGAGCCCCCCTCTCCTCGCCGCAGCCCCAGCCCAGCCCAGCCCGGCCCGGCCCGGCCGCCTCCGCTAAGCAGGCGCCGCGGCGGGGCCGCCACGCACACCTCGGGAGAAGGCATCGGCTCTCCGCCGGCCTCCACCGGGGAGAGCACTGCCGGGGAAACCGGCCCCGCGGGAGGCCGGCGGGCACACGCACACCCCGGCGGGCACACGCACACCCCGGCGGGCACACGCACACCCCGGCGGGCACACGCCCCGGCAGCCCCCGCTGCCGCCCCGCTGCCGCCCCGCTGCCGCCCCGCTGCTGCCCCGGGCCCCTCCTGCGCAGCGCCCGCGCCCACCTTGAGCTGCCCCAGCAGGCGCAGGAAGGGCAGCAGCCCGGCGCCGCCGCTCGCCGCCATCCACCGCCCGGCAGCCACCGCCTCCGCCCGCTCCACCTCCTCCTGCCGAGAGCGGAAGGAAGCGGGCGGCCGGGCCAGTGCTGCGCTGCCCGCCCCGTTTCCAGCTGAGCGCTGGGAGGAGGGCGCGGGTTGTAGGGAAGCGGTGTCTGCGGGGTGCCGGGTGTGTGGCGGAACAGCGCTCCCGAAGCTCTGCCTCCTCGGGGATGCATAAAAAAAGAATGCTTCGGACTGCGATTGTAACGGGAAAACAGCAAGAGAAGCTGGGCTGCTCACGGGTCGTGAAAGGGGAAGGGAGGTGGGCGGCCTGTCCTTTCTTGTCCCAGGGTGCAGCGGGGAGGAGTGAAAGGCAGTCTCGAAGGCAGGAATAACTCATACTGCAGCCAAAACTGAGCATCTCGGTGACTTTTATCATACTTTAAAAGAAAAAGCGAAAGGTAGATATTGGAAACTCATGTATATTTTAACAGAAGATAGGTTAGTTATCAGGGTTGCTAATGAGTTTTAAATTATTCTGGGGACTCACAGAGTCTGGCTACAGGCACTTCCACCACTTTTACAAGTTGAATAAATAACACACTGAATCACTTGACAGTTGGTGGATTTTCAAAATACCTTACATTTCTTTGCTATTTTTATATTGCCGACTGCAATAGCAAGTAACAGTTTAAATGTGATGATGAAAGTCTTTTTTTCAGAAAACAACCTCTGCAGTTTGCCAGATATCAACAGATGGCAGAGTATTTTTATTTTTGCTCATGCATATGCCTAAAATCATAAATTAATAATAAAGTCCAGACACTGTTTTGGTGACCGTTTTAAGGCTGTCTTCCAACAATAAACAAGAATCCTAGACCAGGAAAGTCATCACCTTTACACCTGTGCGCAATCATAAAGGTTGTAAGGGACTTCTGGTATTGCAGTCCAGCTTCCCTGCTTGAAGTGAATCACATCTGTTGCAGTTTTGTCTTGACAGCTCTTGAAACCATGCAAAATAAAAATTACATAGCTTGTCCAGGTTAACTACCTTCCATGTAAATAATTTGTTTCATGATGTCTTCTTTGGACCTTCTGAGCCACTTGTGCCCATGGTTTCCTGTTGTAATGCATACCATACCAAGGGGAGTTTAGCTCTCCCATATTTGCAATCCCCCTTCAAGCAGTTGAATGTTGCTGTTATATGACCCCCAACACTCTTCAACAGGCAAGACAGTCCCAGGATACCTCAACATCTCCTTCAAGATGATGTGATTTAGGTCCTGATTGTCTTGATAGTGTTCACTGGAGCTGAGGAAGCACCAAACTGGGCCCTGTGTCCAGCCAGCACCTCACCAACACCAAGCAAAGGGGGACAGTAACTTTCCTCAGCCTGTTGGCCATACTCCTAATGTAGGCTACTGTGTGATTTCCCATCTTTGGGATGAGAGCACACTATGTGCTTGTGTTGGACTCAGCTTTCACATAACCCCCGGTCATTTTTGATGAAGCTGATAGCCAGCCTGTTTCTTCCCAGCTCATACCAATGGAAGGGCTTATTCGGCCTTAGGTCCAGGACTGAGCATTTATCCTTGTGTTTCTCCGTGTTGAACGTGTTAAGGCTTCTCTCAGCCCAGTCCTGAAGATTCGCAAAGTCTCTCAGAACTTAAGCTTTACTGTTTAGTGTGTCAACCATCCCTCCTAACTTATTGTTACCTTGAAATAACCAGAGAGTGCATCTTGTCCCATGGTCCACATTTTTGATGAAGACAATGCACTATATATACCCTAGTATCAACCCCTAAAGTACTGAACGTGCTATGGGCCTTCAGGCACATTGCCAAGCCACCAGTTGCCACCCACTGAGCCCGTCAGCCTAGGCAGTTTTCAATGCATCTAGCAAACAGCTTGTTCATGCCATATTTCCTCAGTTTGTGAGTGAAAGTGCTGCAGGAAATCATTTCAATCCCTGTACTGAAGTCAGGATCTATTGTGCCCACTCCTTCATCCTTGTCCATGTAACCATCCGTTCCATTATAGGGTGCAATCAAGTTGACCAAGTGTGTTTTTTTCTTCATAAATCAATGCCAGCTGTTCTTGATTGCCTTCGTGATCTGTACGGGTCTCTCTAATAGAGCTTCATCAACTTTCTTTTTGTGACTGCAAACAGAATCTTTATTGTTTCTTTAACAGCTGAAAAACATGCCTTCTGAACTCAGTCATGAAAATAATACAGAGTAAGTTAATAATTTGCATTTTAAATAAGATGCTGTATCCAGTTGAGGAGCGTATTAAGGCTGCTTTGTCTTTTAACCCCTCTTGAATGTATGTATTCAATGTACATATTTAGTATTTGTAGCCTTTTAAATCCATTTGCTTTTGCAAATCCATTAATAATTCTTTAATATGGATGAGTCTTCTACAGCACACACGAGGAGGCATGATTTTCAGTTTTATTGTCTGACAAATTCTTTGCCACTGGTGTCCTTAAGATAGGTTTCTAGAACAAACTCTTGTGGGACATTACTGAGGCTGGATTCACAGGCACTGATCTCAGCTCTCTATTTAGTTCAGAAAACACTATCAAAAGCAGCATACTCTCATTTACAGATTGATTTTCTAATGCACTTAATATCTCTGCTCGATTTGAACCCTTTGGAGCTGTGATTGCTCTGAAGACCCGAGGTTTCCCATGGTGTTGGGAAGTACGGAAAACTGATGGGCAACAGGATGGCAACAACATCATTTGACATTGTGGTGGAGAAGCATTTCCAGGCATCAGCCGTAAATAACGTCTTGACTTATTTTTGCAACACTTATTTCTTTAAAAGTATACCCTGACATATGTACCATTTACATGGGATAAAATGTACACAAAATAATGCACTTAATACAACCATTGTAATTCTTTTGTATAGGTATTTATATAACTTTTGTGATTTTGTAAAAATTGTAATATTTTTAGTATTTTGTAATATTTGTCTTTATATAAAATGTATTTATGTAATATTTATGTAGTGTATTTTTTAATATTTGTCAGTTTTGTAACATGTGCATGTATATAATTCTTCTGCATGTACTTTGTGTGCTGGTTTTGCATATTGCTTATTGACACTGGTTTGCTACCCGGTTTTTCTGATGTAGTACTGGAGGTATCATTTATGAGCTTTTTCAAGTACTTATCAAATGCATCATGTGGAATATTAGAAACATAGACTTTCTGTAGGCTGGAGGACACTAATATAGTACAAATTTTAGCTCTATCATGATTTTATTCTTTACTAAGCAGCCTGAAAAAAAGAAACAAATTTGGGATGCTTATCTCCATGCAATTTTAAGCGGCTTTTTCATTTAACTCAGAAACTTTAGCAAGGATTAGCAAAGTCTCCCTACAGGATATTAAGATAGTGTTAAGGCTTAAATCTCAATCTTTCATCAGTCTCAGCTGGCTTTTTCTCCATCTTTTCCAGAACAGATGGCAATTCCAAAGGAGAAATTCCAAATTAATTGATTTGTCACCACCGAGTAATTCTGATTTAGTAGCTGGAGATGGCGCTCTCTGTCCACAGAATTCTGCTTCGACTGCATTTGCTGCTGCCCAATGCCAGCCTGAAATTGTGCTTCCATTTCTTTAAGAAATAGCTCTGGGAAAAAGGGAATGCTTCACACGCTTGGCTCAGTAATATGAAAATCATCTCTCCAGATGTCAGACAACTGAGAGCAGACCCATTAACTACTCATAGCATGAATCTTGATCCGTTTGTGGTTTAAGTAACGTAGCACCAACAATAACAAATTGGGTTTTGAAAACTCTTATGTGTTCTGCCAATATGGACACAATAAACCTTATGTTGGCAAAATACCTTCAGGAAAAGTAATTAATTGATGGGATTCATCTGGTGGGAGAAAAAAAAAAGAAAAGAAAAAGTTGTATAGTTCAGTGGACATAGCAAAATGATTGCATATCACAGACCCATCAGGCAGCAATAACAGACCTGATGTCCTCCTTAAGAGGCAAAAGTTTGAAGAGCACCTGCCAGACACTGTAACTGGTTGTTTTAGTTCTCCAGACTGTATTATGTCTTTCTTTATCTGAGCCAATCTTATCAACAATGTAGAGTTAGCTAGTGAAAATCTGTTTCAAGAATACTTCAGTAAGGGTACGGAAAGAACAAACCTCTGGAGTGACAGGTACCTGTGTGCCACGTAGCTCCATTCACTCTGCCATGCACTCACTGCCCCGTACTGCCCTGCGCAGGCTGTCAAAGCAGGTGAGAGAGGCACCTGAGAGAGGCACCATGCACTGATGTCTGTGCCAAGGGCTGAACATCTGCTGTGACTTCACAGAATCACAGAATGGTTTGAGTTGGAAGAAACCTTAAAGATCATCTAGTTCCAACCCCCTTGCCATGGGCAGGGACACCTTTACTAGACCAGGTTGCTCAAAGCCCCATCTAACCTGTCCTGGAATGCTTCCAGGGATGGCGCATCCACAACTTCTCGAGGCAACCTGTTCCAATGTCTCACCACTCTCACAGGGCAGAATTTCTTCCTAATATCTAATCTAAACTTACTCTCTTTCAGACAGTGTCACTATATGCCCTTATAAAGAGTTCCTCTCCAGATCTCTTGCAGGCCCCTTTAGATACTGGAAGACTGCTGTGAGGTCTCTCAGGAACCTTCTCTTCTGCAGGCTGAAAAGCCCATTCATGTTCTACACCTCATGGGAAGTAGGTTAACACTAATAATGTTACCTGTGGTCTGGTTATTATCTGTAAATATTGGCCATATGCAGCCTAGGGGTAAGTGAATGCCACTTCATTTATGCTGGCCATTAACACTCATCTGACCGCAAAGCCAAACGTTTCAGGAGAGTCTGGTCTTTGGGCTCCAAAGGAAAAAGCTGCAGAGGAGCACTGGGGACACTGCAGGGGAGTGCTGGGACAGCTGCGGAGGAGCATTGGGACAGCTGCCCTTTCCCAGCAGTGTTGTGGAAGTCCCCTCACATGTGGCACTGCAACAGAACCACCGCATCAGAAAAAACAAGGGAACAAAAATGAAATGAGAAGATTGTTTCAGTTTTTGGTGAAATGTGTGCGAACTCCAATGGAAGGCATATCAGAAGGCT